GGGACGAAAAAAACGAGGTCCCGTGTACACATTGGCGTGCACGTAAAAGATCCCTTGGCAGTTGGAATTCGATATAAGAGTAGGCCGTAGCGCCGCTGCCCAGACAAAATTTCCGAAATAGCACACTGTATGGCGTATGCCCGTCTTCAATTAGCCCAGGTTAGGTGCAGAAGCGTAGGACGTTAAACCCCATTTCATTTAAATCCTATTTTACTTGTCCAGAGGGTTCAAAAATATTTTTAAATCCAAGTCACATTTGAAAAGCTTTACGTCAGGCTTTTCAAATCATTTAGTTGAATTTTTCCAATTTTTTAAATTAGGTGTGTTAAAATGAAATTTGTATCATCAATTAATTGGAATATTGTAAAATAGTACAATTTGTTGACCAGAATAAAGATTGGGACATATTATTCAGTTACAACAAGAGTGGTATTGAGCCTTTAAAACACTTTTGTATAAACTTTAGCCTCTAGAGCATCAACAAGATTTTGCTAAGTGATCAATACAGTAAAAATCAATACACTTCACACGTCTCATGACCTTAACCGCTGTGTATAAATTTAAGCCTCTCTGGCATCCACAAGATATTTAAAAGTGATCAAGGGCCATAACTCTGGCAGTAATTATCGGAAATCACTGAATAAAACAAAGTACGAACAATCCAAACCATTAGACAAAATTCAAAGTCCTAAAAAAAAATTGGTATAGGCAAAATAGTGGAATCAGCAAATGGACTGTTCACCATGTACAAAATACACGACAGACAGTGGCAACAGGTGTCCGAAAGAGTAAGCTTACATTTAGTGAAGTAGCCGTGTAGCTGGGCCATCCGACGTACTGTCGGAGTGTCGGTACTCAGTAGATATGCACATCTTGGCATTTATTAAAATTTAATTACTGATCTTTTTTAGTTGAAAAGTAGCCGGAAATTGGCTTAATTTAAACGGCGAAATTTGACGGTTGCCGCCTTCTAATGACATCCCTGGACCGATATTATTTTAGGTAGGACTATTTTATATTATATAATATACTACATGTATCTCTAAAGTATGAATATGCCGAGTTTTTTTTACTTTATCAACGAGTGTGGATATTTTTTGACATCAAAAAAGACGAGTAGGAGATTTTATTCGTCACCCAATCCCTTCTTACATGCACAAATAGATAAATATAATTCTTTGCTGTAGATTTCACTTTTACTGAACATTACGGCGTAGTGATACATCATTTTTTGACAGCAATTCAACCATTGCAAAGTCCTTTATATTGACCCGATGTTTCCATCAAGGTCAATTGAATAACAAAAGTTCATTTTTAATAAAAAAAAAAGAAAGATACTTTTAATAAGAAATGAACTGTTCTTTGAAAATAAAAAAAAAGTAGTTGCTTTTCAACTGACCAATCAAATTCATGTAAAGCGATAATTATTTGATTGTTCAATAACTAATATACATTAACTTTATTTATGGACTTTGTGTTGCGTGTTTGAAATGGTAGTATCAACCGGAAATCGAGCAGTTGTACCCTTAGTATACATGTAATTAAATCTCTTAAACATGTCTTGGGTGGGGGATCCATGAATTTCTTTCGATATTCATGTACATACATGTATGTAGATACATTACAAAAAACTAGTGTAAAACAGGTGAAAACCTGGATTGTTGTTATCAATTGTACCGGTAATTAGCGGTGTTGACTTTATGAGTACCCAACTGTTTGCAGTATTTATTTGTAGTTAACTTTTTCGTCACAACCATTTAAGAAAAGATTAATTCAATACATAAGGCAATTTACTGAATATTGTCATTAAGTAATAAGACACATTTTATCTGTGACAAGTACTAAGATAGGTGAACATTGTGAGCAGTGATGGGATTTCGCCCGTATATTCCGGATGTGTCCGACGCTAAATTGTCCGACCAGGAATATGCCGAATCGGACATCAAGGTATGGTGATTAATATTCAAAATTCTAAAATTAATATAGTGTACTGAGTGTATATCTAATACTCAACCCGATTATCATTGATAATAGGATGGATTGATTACATGTAGGTAATTAAGTGATCAACGTATTTATTGTGTTATACCGCCTATACACCTACATTGATTAACTAGTTAATCTGCCTTAATCCTTTATCGGTCATTTCATCAATCCAATTCTGAACAGAAGTCATTGCTTCTCCTTTGTCGCGATATGTATCAATCCGATAAGACTAATAAGAGTGATTATAAACTTAATCTACATGATTGACCTATGATTTCCCCATTGTCAGATGTTTTAATCTCCTTGATGTCGGCCGACAACACGTAGAAATTAGTCATATATATGTCACTTATCCTAATAGTACATAACACCCCAAATCAATATGTATCCATCCGATAACTTGTCTGCGATATCACTTCGGTTAAAGCGAGCGTTAAATAAACCTATTTCACACACATACGAAAAATACTACACAATGCTAACTCTGTTTCTGATTGCATGTGGTTATAGTACGATAACTGAAATGAAAGTAGAAATCTTGCGAGACGCGTGAAACTATAAAATGAATACGCAACAAATTTCACACGTCTAATGTCGAAGAAAAGATTCTATTTTGATGGCATATTCTCGGATTTATGATCATATTTTGAATGGGATTTTGGTTATGTTTTTAAATAAATAAGTACCCTAGGAAATGTTGACGAATATGTCAATTGGAATACTGTACATGTGTAAGTAGTTAATTGTTTTAGACGATAGTGCGTTTGAATGCAATTATTTAGCAGATGGTGTCGCTCGCTCGTTGTGTTAAGAGCGACGTTTACTGCCAAATAAATTTCGGGATGTCATTTTTTTACCCTCTGTATATAAGTCAAAACAGAGTATAAGACGAATGCCAGACTTTTGCTGAAAAATGTATCAACTTATTTATGACCCGAAAAATACGGTAATTTTGGAGGAATTTGAAATGGGTAAGGATCGGCCATAGTCGGCACACCTTTCATTCTATCGTATTACAACATCACATAATTTTGTAGGAATATTACTGACATAAATCTGAATACAGTACGGGAATTAATATGCAAAATAACAAGGTGTACCTATTTTTTATTACGTACGAATTTGAATATTTTGTTGACACATGATTTTTGTGTGTGGTCTAAAAACTGCCTCCTTAAATAACGATAAGAGTTATGTCCCTTTATTTTCGGTAAAAATGTCTGACAAGAAAAATTTTGAAATCCCATCACTGATTGTGAGCCATTATTATTAAAGGTGACAAGACGAATTTATTTACTTCATGTATTCTTAGGATTAATGTTTTCCATCATTCTTTTAATGATTCCATATTTTAACTACATTTCTGCATGATACTCAATCTTTCATTCTTAGCCATATTCTATTTTGGGGGGTGATACTGGTATTCCATCTTTCAATCATTCTTCATTCTGAGACTCCATCATCTGTTTTTCATGACATTCTTAAATCTAGCTTTCAACCATGGATTCATATTTTAATCACCAATCATTCCTTCCACATGTGACATTCCATATTTTAATCATGTTTTTTATTTGTGTTATTGCATTTGTAAACCACTGTCTGGCTGGACTACTGATGCTATTCTCTATTACATGACCTCTTGGTGGATGATATCGATACATGTATGTATTTCAGTGATATTCTAGCTGTGAGTCTTTAATTAGGGATGTCCATAAAAAAAACCTGATTCACCTTTTGCCATGTGATTTAGATGTAGTAGACATTATGAAATTATTTTTCTTTTCATTACGTTTTGGTGCCTAAAGTAAAAGTGAGGGTTGGGAATGCAAAGGTAGAATTGTGCCAAACATTTTGCTGTGTTTTCCTTTGTCTGCATAATGATTATGAGTTATGACATACCACCTGCCCTCTTATGGCAGCGTTCTAGTCTGCGCATTACAAGATTTACAGGGACCATTCACAAGATATACATGATCTAATATCTAACATGTAAAAATAATTTCTTGCCTTTACATATCCTACATACTCATCACTATCCTACCATTCAAAATGTAAATGTATTTCGCATAGGGATCAATTATATAGTTTGTACATAAGAACTTTCATCTCATAAAAAAAAAAAATAAAAAAAAAAAAGGTTGCCAGGAAACGAAACATACGCCCACAGCAGCTAAATTGTCCGGGCAGTCAACAAGAGTTGTCGCATATTTTTACTTTTTTTCGGTAATGAAACATTTATAATACATTAAAATCTGATTAAGAGTAACATATCATTAAGTATTTAACAGAAAACCATTAGAATCTGTTTTTATAAAGTTTTGCCCCATGCTAATGTTTAGTATACGAAACTTTTAACATCATGGATTTAGCTGTTCACGTCATAAAAATTCATTGAAAATCAATATACTTGTTCGTCTCAGGACCTTAAACTCTGTGTATCAATCTGAAGTCAATCGGATGATATTAACTTTAGCCTCTAGAGCATTTACAAGATTTTTTAAGTGTTCAAGGGCCATAACTCTGGCAGTAATTCTCGAAAATCGCTGAAAATAAATAGACTTCTTCGTCTCATGACCTAGCCTCTAGAGCGTCCACAAGATTTTTCAAGGTGATCAAGGGCCATAACTCTGGCAGTAATTATCGGAAATAGCTGAAAATCAATAGGATTCTTCATCTCATGACCTTAAACACTGTGTATAAATTTAAAGTCAATCAGATATTAACTTTGGCCTCTAGAGTGTCAACAAGAATTTTTGAAGTGATCAAGGGCCACAACTCTGGCAGTAATTATCGGAAATCGCTGAAAATCAATAGGCTTCTTCGTCTCATGATCTTAAACACTGTGTACAAACTTAAAGTCAATCGGATATTAACTTTAGCCTCTAGAGCTTCCACATTTGCTTGCTAAAGCAATTGTGGACGCCGGACCGACGGGGGCGACGACAATATACAACCACATTTCAATGTGGGCGTATAAAAATGTTTTTGGTTCACCAAAATTTTCATACATGTACCTTCCAATTTCTTTTTAGCTTCTATTTGCATATCCAGTGCTTTCTGTTGTCTTGCAAGGTATTCCTTAATAAAGGAACTTTGACCAGCAACTTCATCATTTTGAAGCTAAAAATAAGATGCATAAATTCATTTAGTGTTCCAATCTCTGCAAAATAATAATATATTTCATTATTAGTATTACTTTATAAAACCATTGCTATAAACATGCTATGTTTAGCTTCAATATTACCCTGGGGATACTTGATTGAATGTCCTGAAATATAGAATTCTTTCAATCCTACTTAAACTGACATAATTTGAGTTAAAAATGGGCTTTTACATGTACATCACATGCATTAACCCATACTGCACGCAGCGATCCATCTACGTCATACTTCGAAAATAGATCACTGTCCTAAATGCTGTCCATTTAAAGATAGGTTCTCAGAAAAGTATTTATCGGGTGGTTATTTCCAATAAAAGTATGGCAATTTTGGTATATAGAAAGTAGAAATATCCAATCTTACTAGAAAAATACTGGATGCCCTGAAAAACACTCATGGAGAGTTAGACGTACAACAGTTTCTGAGTTAAAAACCACGGACAAAAACTTGGGCAGTGGATAATCCGAGAATTTAATTAGGCTTCGATATTTGTAATAAATAGTTAGCGATTAAAGACAACATCGTCTTGTGTATGCAATGAATTCTCCTCCGACTTCGTCCTACTGAAAGAGGTAAGTCACGTGACACAAACATGACCTCTTTTGATCGATTTTTTTATAATAAGGGCATTCCTTGGCAATTGCAATATTTTGAGAAGGATTTGAAGCAAAATTATGATAAATTAATTAGTTTGAATATGTTTTTAGTCAAAATATATCATCAAATCACCCAGTTTTTACGCAGGAATGTATCTTTAAAACGCTCACATGATCATTTTGGGGCAGGACTTATCGACTGGACTACTGCTTTGTATAAACAACAGAGTAAAAAAGAACCCGAAGCCCGTGTTTTATGTAAACACATATGTCAGGTTGGCAAAATGTCAACTTCTGCGACTCCGGTAAAAACGATATACAATATGTGCTAGTGGGTAATATTGCAATACAGTCTTTATCTTTCAAAACAAGGTTAGATACTCCTGGATTTGTCTTTGCAAACAAAACTGCCTCTGTGAAATTATATTTCATGGGCGCATACTCAGTGTTTTCGACTAAAATCGTTGATGTAGGAATTAAGATGTTGGTTAATTACAAAATACATGTAGGTTAGGGCCTGTTCACAGGCGGAGCTAGCTGTAGATAGGCAGTCTAAGTTTGGGATTGCATTAACTATGACAACTGAAATGAATTTCACTAAGTTTGGGATTGCATTAACTATGACAACTGAAATGAATTTCACTATGTTCAATTATATCACAATTCTACAAATACTACCTGTAGAGCATGTACCACACATTTATCGGGACTGATAGAACTTTGACAGTTTGGTATTCTGGACTAACAATCAAGCATCCCTTTTGAGTATGTAAGTGTCACTTTTTAAGTTTTCCCTAGTCATAACCTTCCTTAATGTACATGTATACTACATATACATTGTAAATTACTGGATATATATTATTTACTTACTTCTAAGTTTGGTGCCTTGTCTGAAAAGGAAATAATATTTTTTTTTTTTTAATTTAAAACAATATTATTAGAAATAGAATTACAATCTTTAACTCTAAAGGCATAGTGACTGTCTTGAAGTTTAATAAAAAAAAAATAGAAGGATAAAGTTAATCTATTACCATTTATTTACTTTCATCATTAGTTTGTCCATAGTTAATTAATATTAGGTATGACATACATGTAGTATTATCTAAACAATACTGTCAGTAGCGTGTACCAAGCTCAAGGGCAGTTAACTCTGTTTGGCTTAATATTTGGTCCAAAAACTGGTTATGATTTTAAGCGGAAAAGTAGGTATCGAATTACGTTTGACCGCACCTTTACTTTTGTTGGCGGGTGGTGCAACTTGGCGGGAGATGTTCGGAAGAATGTTGGGCCTGTGGAATATGACAATTGGACCCGTGTCAGGTGAGTAGAACGATTTTTTCTAGAATTTTAAAAAGTTCAAATATTTTCCATTTCTTTACGTAAGAATATTCCAACATAATTTTACGATTTTATGACACTTTAGAGAATATTCTATTCATAAAAAATTAAAAACCGAATTGTCATGGACGTTATCATGCGTTAAATTGAGAATTAAGTAAAAATTCAGCAAATAACGGTACAGGGCGAAAAACCGGAAGTTGAATATCCATCATGAAAGCCTCCGACGAGCGCTGTAGCTATTTGTTTTCATTCCGTAAAAATGTGCTTATTCTGTCTTTTTTTTTTTTTTTACATAGATCGGTTACAACATGACTTAGAAAATAAAACTACCCATGTTTATAATATATTAATGATAAAATTTTAGCCGATATTATTCGATCTGTAGAAAATGAACCGAAATCGACCCAAAGAAACGGCATTATTCAATTGACAGACATAAATAAATCAGTATGAACGCACGTTTTTTAAAAGCAGAATTATATATTGTATTAACAAAGAATAATTAAAATAGAAACTAAAGTGAAATATTAGTCCAATTTATTAGAACTGATATATGACATAATGTCATGTGATGTAGGCTGTCTTTTTTAAATTGTAAAAATTATATGTTTGTCACTAATAAGTAGTATCAGATTAGGTGGGTATGAAAACTAATCCTTTGCACTGGTTTGTTTAGTTTACATGTATTTCATTTTATTCATTTTTTCTATGCAAGCTGTTTACGATAGACTCTGAAGCAGAGGCCTCATGCGTTCAGTGACCAGACTATCTGTCATATCAAAAATTATTACCCCAACTAGTTGATAAACAAAAAGAAACAGCTAGCAAAAAACAACTGTTGTTTGAAACTTTCCAAATATTATTACATAATACCATATATTGTTATTATTTTATATATATAAAAAATATCTATTTATTTATTCATTGTAATATATAATACCATGTATTGTTATCATTTTATATAAATAACCAATATCTGTTTATTTATTTTTTTATTTATTTATTTAGAATTAAATTGGATTTAATTGAATATTTCGTAGGATGAAATCTTAAAAGTCTTGTTGTAATTTTACTATTTTATATCTATTTTCAGGTACTGGTATAACAAATCAGTTGCATTAGAAACAAATTTTACTTTCTTAATTTCATGTTTCATAAACGTACATTTTTGTTCTTTCTTTTTTTTTTTCAATTAAAGAAAATTGTTAACTTTAAATAAATAATATTAAAAGTATTATGTGTTTAGATTCAGTTTCAAAGGAGTAGGGTCAACTGCCCAACCTCATGGATTTTCTCTGCGGAATTCCCACTGTTACAGAACCTTACTGACAAGGAAATTATTGAATTAAAACAGTGGTCTATGTTAGTCCCAAAATGACCTAGTCTGAGTCAAGTGGCGTTAAAACCCTCTCTCAACATCCTTCTTTCTATTTCTCCATATATCTTCTTTTCCCCTGCTTGAAATGCATATTTTAGGATTTGTGTGATGGGAGCAAATGCTTAAAAAGGAGAAATAGCAAACAATCGTCAAATTTAAGCCTAACCCTGTTCATTGGTAACCACTTTTCCTGAAAAAAGGGGTCTTATTTTTTATCTGAATGATTGTGAATTTAATAAGGAGTAACCAAACTGTTACTCTACCAAGTTTCATGTTAATTCATTGAAAAATAATTCTTTTACATAGCCCTGAAGTCAAATTACCACTTTTTGGACCAATAAAAAATTGAATATTAAAAAAAGTATAAGTCCGATTCTAAAAATTTAAACGGTTTTGAAATTCTAATGTTTGGGCAATTATTTCTGACTTCTGCCATGTTTCAAAGCAATTGCTCAAAAAATAAAATTTGGTTGGTACATGCTAAACTGTACCACTACCAGCAAAAATGTTTAGTGATTATGCTTAATACTAATAGTATTATTTAATTAGTAATGATATTAAGCCTTGGATCTTCATTTCATCCCCAACCTGTCCTTATATTATTTAGCAAGTTAGGTTTTCTTCAAAGGTATATCAAAAGAAATAATAGTATACTCGAAGGGAAACAACTCCACTTATTTTTCTAGGTAGAGTAGGCCTAGATCTACTCACTTTCAGTATCAACAGGTACATTCTGTAGTTTTTCTAACTGCAATTGCTGCAAAAACAAAATAACGTTTCACCACCACAAAGTCAAGTATCAATATTATCAATTCGTATTTACATCCTAAGTCGATTGGACGGTCAGTGATATGTGAATATTTAATAAGTATAAAGTAGGTCAATCAACCATAACAGAAGCCACCGAGCGGCATTTTCAATGTTTACTTGTTGTAAAACAAGACTGCCCATTCTGCTGTTTCAGTAAGTAAATCATTTACTCGCAGTAACTTGGACAGAAATTAGAATAGAGTTGAATTCTTCTAATTATTTAAGTCCATAATACATTTTATGTGCAGTGACATGATTTACATGGTTGCTTATGCCCAACCAAGACCCAAAATGTTTGTCATTTCTTAATAAACGCATTCGGAACTTGCAAATGCTAGACCCTACTACTAAAATAATGTAAGTACTGCAGTGTGCTTGATACGTACCGCCTTTAATCTTGCAATTAACTGTCCCTTGCTGCCACTCTTTGATAGTCCTCGTGCTTCAAGCTCTTTTTTTAGATCTACGACCCGAAGTTCACCTAAAGTTTTCCCTTCAACCATAATCGGTTCGTCGTCCGCCATTTTCCCAAACTTAGCTAAGGCAGTGCTCGTTTATTTCCGGAAAATACGTTTTATTTTGCCAAATTGAGATGTTAAATTGCATCTTTATATGTGTGTGTCGCAAATCATTTTAGAATATAAAAATTATACAATTTATTAATATTCTTTTTAAAATTATGAGACCGAATAAAAATTACATTACATCGGGGGTTTCCGTGTGAATCTGAAATAAGTCAAGGTCGTCATGCCAGAGCATTCGGCTAACCTTACTAGATTTTGTTGATATTGCCGATTGAAGGGCGTCCTGATAGTGATACGGATAGAAACATTCTAGTTTTATTCACTCATTTAAAATTTAATGCAGGGTAAATTCGAGTGTTTCAAGCAAAGAGGCTAAACGGTTTATTAATTTAACTGACAAAGCACAGGACGGACGGAGTTAAAAAAAAAAAGTAAGAAACTTAGTGTTCAACTTTTTGTTGTGTTCAGTTTGAGTTATCACTACTTTAAACTAGTTCAGACACTGCTAGTAGTGCTAGGTACAATATTGTATCCGCGTCCTGTCTTATGCAGGGCTACAAGTGATACACTAATCAAGGCTTTGCGCAAGTAAAATTAGGTTCAGTTGCAAATTTTCCACACATATGGTCACAGTTTGCATGGAAATAAGTAATAAATTATTTGTTAAAACTAGAACTGCGATACCACTTTTTGATTTAGGCCTACCATTGAACTTATGTCACTTCCGGTGCCCCGTGGGCCGTTACCTGTGAACTCACTTCACTTCCGGTACCAGTGAAACCGTTAAACAGATTTCCACATTAGCATTGCACACGTGTTATAAAATGGATGACTAATCAACCAAATCCAGCCATATCAATTCCATTAATACATTTTTTACCATGTATTAGATATATACTATTCAAAAAAAGTAGGGGATATTTGATTTTTAAGTGTTATTAAAGTCACCTAATGAAACTGACGAAGAAACAAATGACAAAATGAAATGAAGTTCACATTCATCGATTTATTCCAAATGATCGTTAGACTAAGTAAGGCACAGACTGACCATTATAAGGGTAAAATGATACCCGGGGTCAAACAGCAAAGTTACCACAGCATCACAACCAAGTCAGTAACGGGTAAATCCTCCTCTGTTTGCCAAACAAGCATTGATCCGACGTGGCATACTCCTAATGAGACGTCTAAGGTCATTTTGGTCCAGATTGTCCCATTCCTGTTGCAACGCAGCAGCAAGTTCTTGGACATTGGCAGGACGTTGTTGACGTTGACGTAACCTCTGTCCAAGCATGTCCCAGACATGCTCGATGGGGGAGAGGTCGGGACTCAGTGCTGGCCAAGGTAATGTGGTGATGTTCTGTTGTTGGAGGTAACCTGTAACGATCCTGGCCCTGTGACATCTTGCGTTGTCATCCTGGAAGATGAAACGGCGGCCATGACGTCGTGCGAACGGCACAACATGGACTGCCAAGATGTTGTCCCGGTAGTACTGGCCTGTAACACGCCCTGCAACAACATGTAAAGCCGTTCTTCCAGCAACAGTGATGCCTCCCCACACCATAACAGAACCACCCCCAAATCGATCATGTCTGATGACGTTAACGTCTTGGAAGCGCTCGTTTCGACGACGCCACACCCTCCTACGTCTGTCCAAAAAATCAACAGTGAACCTTGACTCATCTGAAAACATCACATTGCTCCAGCGTCGATTATCCCAGTGTTGACGATCCCTACACCAACGACGTCTTGCCTGAATGTGATGATCTTTCAAACAAGGGATCACGCGAGGATGTCGGGCGCGAAGGTGACCCCTATGCAGTTGATTCCGAATCGTCTGGCCACTCACTCTCACACCAGTGTCTGTTTGAAGACGAGCGCTGATCTGATTTGCTGTGATGACACGATTTCTCAAGGCCAAGGTACGGATAAATCGATCCTGGGCTTGAGTTGTCGCCCTTGGTCGACCTGAGCGTGGTCTGTCCTGTACAGATTGTGTATCACGGTATCTGGACCATAGCCTGCTTATGACAGACTGAGAAACATTCATCGTCCGCGCCACAACCGCCTGTGTTGTGCCGATCTGTAGCATGCCAAGGGCACGTAACCTTTCATTTTGGGTAAGCCGACGCATATCAAAATTTGTTTTCTGGTCACTAAAACAATTAAACTGATGTTTCCACCCTGGAATTCAATGCCACAATGACTGTAACATTCAAAGTCAGAGTCGTGCAAATCTTGGGTTGGACCCCCATGATGATCCCAAGCATCACCTGCATTCCATGCGGTAGCTATTGGTGCGTTTGGGCGTCACATGTAACTGGAAATGTTTCTTCTGTTAGGTTCTATAGTGACTTTTTTCGTAGTCATTTGCATATTTTAGTATTATGCCCCCAAAATCAAATATCCCCTACTTTTTTTGAATAGTATATGTCAAAAAAGTGATCCTGACAAAATTTGTTACTAACTTACCGCTAACTTAGCTGACTATCTAATGTGATATCAAAATGCGGAAAAAATCTTAAAAAGTGATCCTGACAAAATTGGAAGACGTTAGAAGCAATTTGTGGACATCTATACAATTGTATTGATCCAATCTATATGTCAATTGGAATCAAATATCATAATTTTTAACGGATAATAAATATAGCGCACTTAAAAAAAAAATATTGTTTTGAAGGGTAAAAAATACAATTTTTGCCAAAATGACAGTATTTTCGGTGATAATGAAAATGTTAAATTAGTTCTACGAAATCAGAAATGGCATAAGGCATCACATGGTGAAAATTTTATAAAAATCGAATAATAATTGACACTTTTATAGACCAAAAACCTTGAAAAGTGACTTGTAGTAAATCCTCTATTTCTCTGCAACCGTACAAGTTAGAAACCAGTTTGTGGTATCTGTATGTGGTATCTGGGTTCATTCTATTTGTTTATTGGAATCAAATATAATTTTATAAACCTTACAAATCAGACTCATTTTAATAAAATATCTGTTTTGAAGGCTAAAATACAGTTTATGCCCAAATGACGTCATTTCCGGTGACAGTGAAAATGATCAATTGGTTTGACTTAATCAAAATTGGCATTAGGCATCAAATAGTAAAAACAAATTCAAAATCAAGTAATAATTGACTCTTTTACAGGCAAAATAGCGTGAAAAGTGACGCATGCAATATTCCCTATTTCTTGGCAACTGCTCATATTACAAACTAATTTTCAAATACATTCTCTTCGTATGGATTAATGCTACAGGTTTACGAGAGTTGTCAAGAAATATTTTAAAATATGAAAAGCCTGAATACATGTACATTGTAAATAGTTTATTTTTACCTTCTTTTTTTTTTACATGTAAATCAAAATGGCACAAATACAAAACCGAAATTTAAATAAATAAGCCTGACATATTTTGCGTCTTTAGTAGGAGCATTTATCTTGATCTTTTAGATTTGTAAGCATTAATATTTGCATTTGAAAAGGCATTTTGACTGTCAAAATTGATGTTTTGGACAAAATTATTTCACTTCCGGTGCGCACCGAAAATTTTATTGGTATAAAAAAGTTGAGAATTCGCACAACAGGGCATATAAGCTTTTCTTTTATACAAATCAGGCAATAAATATTTAACTTAAAATCCATAAACTGAAATTAAAATGCGAAAAATCTTAAAAGTGATCCTGACAAAATTCGTCCATCGGAATCAAATATCATAATTTTATACGAATAATGAATATCACTTACTTCAAACAAATATTTGGTTTAGAGGCTAAAAATACAGTGTTTGACAAAATAACATTACTTCCGGTGATAATGAAAATCTTAAATTACTTGTATGAAATTGTAAATGGCATTAGGTATCACATGGTGAAGATTTTACGAAAATCGAATAATAATTAACACTTTTAAGGACCAAAAACCTTGAAAAGTGTGACCTGTTGAAAATCACTATTTCTCCGCAACTGAACAAGTTAGAAACCATTTTTTGATATCTATGTGATCGTATGGGTTCATTCTATTTGTTTGATTGGAATCAAATATCAACATTTTAAACAAATAACAAATACGACTCCATTTGAATAAATTATTTGTTTCGAAGGCTATTAATAGAGTTTTTGCCCCAATTACGTCATTTCTGGTGACACTGAAAATATTAAAGTGGTTTAAACTAGTCACAATTGACTTTACGCATGAAATGGTGTCACTTTTATGAAAATCCAATAATAATTGACTCTTTTACAGGCAAAATAGCGTAAAAAGTGACTCATACAAAATTGACCATTTCTCGGCAACTGCTCATATTACAAACTAATTTTGAGATAGATTCTCTTCGTATGGATTAATGCTACAAGTTTATGAAAGTTACGAAGAAATATTTTAAAATATGAAAAGCCTGAATGGGTTGTAAATAGCTCATTTTTACACTTTTTTTCACCTTTAAATCGAAATGGCGCAAATACAAAACCGAATTTAAAAAAACAAGTCTGAGATTTTTTGCACCTTTTGTAGGGGCATTTATCTTGATCTATCAGATTTGTAAAAATTAACATTTGCTAACGAAAAGATGTTCCGACTTGTCAAAATCGAGCTTTTAGCAAAATTGCATCACCTGGTGCCGATAAAAAACTTTACTGGTAATAAAAAAATGAAAATTTGCATCGTGGAGCATATGAACTTTGTTTTACAAAAATCGGGCAATAAATAATTAACCTAGAACCGATAAACTGAATTAGCCAATAACGGCCAAGAAAAAATTATCAAGACAAAAAATGTTCACATTTTAGCTCAAATCAAACGATCCTTTAACCCTGGGTAAAATGCCATATAAAATATTCATAAATAAAAAAAAAATTGGTAAAAATTTAAATTTTCAAAGTTTGGCGCCCAATATCTGCAAAGATTCATCGAAAATCAAAAATCTAAACTACCGTAGCTATCTGCCTTGTCAAAATGTATCAAATGTTAAAATCCGAAGATTATTGTTAATATTAAGGCAATATTTCAAAAATGACAACTTCGGCGATTTGGGATATTTCGAATTGTCGCAGAACGTTCGGAATAGCTTTAATCTCTAAGTCACACCCACTTTCCCTGTAAAACCGAAGACATCGAATTGATTCGACAAGTAGTTTCTGAGATATGCGCAAGTGGAAAAAAAGATAATAATAATAACTAGATCTGCATAGCAGATATCAAAGCTTTCATATAAACTGCAAAAGGGGTTATTAGAATCTATGAATCAACAATCACTTTGACGGAAGATATTCTCTCGGCTAAAAAATCTTTCTTCTCTCAGCTACGAGAGATACATAGAATTAAACCGGCCCAGAGCCGATCGTGTTGATAAGAAGCCGCTTATTTGACATTGACACATAACCGAAGGTGAATAGGCCTACCCGTCCAGTTAATACAATGGGCAATCTCACATCGGTCCACTAAAGAGAGGCACATACTAGTCGCCTCCTACTTCCCCAAGACATTTAGTCCAAATCTTGACTCTCATACATATAAACCATTTGGTACTACATGTACATGTATTTCGTACTTATATCATATTAAACCCCTCGGCCGCCATGTTGAATCACACAGTATTCAACGTTCTATATCCTAACATCTTTATGAAATCAACGACAAATCTAAACTTGGGCACTCCAACCATTTTTATTTTTACATCATTCAGTTTTTTTTAAATAAGTAATTCTATCACAAATTATAGTGAAGACTGGACCACTAAACTAGTTACCGATCGTTTTTTCTTTGTGTTAATGCGTTCTACATTTTCAAAGCAATGATTCTTATAATGTGCGAGCCGCCATGACACCGGCGGATATTATAACTTCGATAGGTGAGAAACTTCAGTTAGCAGTTGGGTTTCATCAAATCATATAATTATGCAGTACGACTTCACCTTTATTTCAATGGGAATTGGTTTATTATATGTGCAGTGCAGTTTTAGGTCAGTTTATGTGTAAATTAAGGGAGCTATACATAGGCCAGTAACCTTTTTGTAGTCATTTGACTAAAAAAAACTTGCGGAAAGGAACTCCGTAGGACAAGCCACTACTGTGGCAGGAGTAAGGCGGAAGACATCAGTAGTGGAACCATTTCTAAGTTAATCCCGAAGTGCGTTGCTATTGTAAGAATATATAAAATGGGGTTTACGGTCCCGCTTTTTTGCTGTAGTTTGAGTAATGAGTTAGAGCGTATATTTTGTAGTCAAAAAATCATTGCAAATAGAAGACCTCATCCCCACCACCACCACCCTGTAATACACTAGCTAGCTTGTGTATTTCCATATTCCATTTCCGAGAGATAGATAGAGAACACGCAAAAGATAAAGTGATTTTTCTTACAATCAGGGACCATAATTCATGAAGTTAAGATTCGATATGCGCAAATATCGAAAGGAACCATATCTTTGGGTTATAAACATGCATGTCAAGTTTCATCAAAATCTTTCACTGTGAAAAACCGGGGCCAAGTCATCTGAAATCAAACAAATTTTACAATGTAGGTAATGAAAACAAAATGTTATGTTAAGCGTTGTTCGAGGGTGGGGTGGGTGCATAAAATTCCAAATGCAAAGGGTTATTTTTCGTGAACGCCAATATGCACACAGGATTTTGATTTTTCGTCCTACCCAAAAAACTGCACGCAAAGTTAGTGTCGGGCCTTCGGTCTAGAACCACGGACAAAGGGAGAGAACGGGGACCTCTGTTTTGCATACCATCCAAGCGACTAGGCACTAATCCTTGTACCATGGACGAGGGGACGGGCGTTTTTTGTCCCATCGAAACGACTAGACACAGATCCTTGCTAGGCCTTCCATACTTCACCACTGCCAACGGGGAACCACTTTGACCTCGGGTTTTCGTACCATCCGAACGACTAGACACTAATCCTTGCAAGGCCTTCCGTTCTGCACAAATGAGCCACGCTGGCCTCGTTTTGTCGTAACATACAAACGACTAGACAATGTTTCATAATTTAGTCATGTTCGCGTGGGTGGGTTGGCAGCAGAATTGATATGTACATGATATTGACACGAATAGGAGGGGGGGGGGGGAGCGGGGTGTACACAAATCACACAAATCAGAGCTTTGTAATACACGCATATACTTGATATACTAAATACACAAATGGCTGAATTTCGAGACATTTCTGGCACTCTTTTAACACATAATGAGAACACTGCATTAATTTCTATATATCAATAAAATATGCCTCAGACCCACTATATGATACACTAAATTTCGACATTGATTTTCAGAAAAAATATTGTTTATTTTTAAATTTGAATTAGACTAGTAACAAATTATATTTTCTGGCAACAAATAGCATATAAAACAAAATAGATTTACTTTCTGATTATTTTTTTTAAATGAAATCATTCCAGGGCTTTTATTGACATTTCAGAAAATGTAGAGTTGGTCCCATGCACTTGAGGCCAGGGTCCTTGAAGTTGTACAGCTGCACCCGGTGACCGATATTTATTTAACGGGGAATAAGTGATAATTCATATTATAACAGTAAATAATTAAAATATCCCATAGGGATTATAATAATATGTATATCATGTAGGTGTGCATATCTGATATGCTGGGTATTACAGGGTTAAAATTGTGACCTCTGTAAATAGGCCCGTTCCTTGCATTTAGTTTTAGAGTTAGGAGTGCTAAAATTGAGAGAGCGAAATGGGGTTGATCGACCACTCGACACAAACTAGGTCATTTCGGGACTAACGTATGGTTCAATTTTATTTCAATAATTCGCTTGCGCGTAGGGGTCTAGCAGTGGGAGGAAACCGGGTGATCCTGAAAAAACACACAGGTTGGACGGGCGACCTACTCCTTGTCACGTACGGAAAGATGCCCCAGCAGTCAAAATAGGTTAAAATAGGCGATTTCGGTTTCTAGTGTCGAAACATCGTTGCGGTCATTTTAAAAAATTGCCTTGTAAGGATAATGTGTATAGTACTAATACCCATCACATACGGAAGAGGCGATAACATCTCTTTGCTTTTGCAATTTCAAAATTAATTAAAACCAATATTAAATTCCAAAAATCGTTTTCTTGCTAAAACTCTTTTTTTTTTAATGTGATCAAAATGAGGGTAAAGCACAGAGTCCGGGGTGGTAATGGGCTTATTGTGTCCAAATTTCATGGTTTTCGGACAATCGGTGCCGGTGTCACGGCGAAATTCCACTTTTTTCCCCTCATGGAAGCCGTAAATTGACTTGAGGCCAGTGTCCTTGAAGTTGTACAGCTGCACCCGGTGACCGATATTTATTTAAAGGGGAATAAGTGATAATTCATATTATAGCAGTAAATAATTAAAATATTTCATAGGGATTATAATAATATGTATATCATGTCTGGGTATTACAGGGTTAAAACCAATATTAAATTCCGAAAATCGTTTTTTTGCTAAAACTCTTTTTTTTTTAATGGGATCAAAATCGTTTTTTTGCTAAAACTCTTTTTTTTTTAATGGGATCAAAATGGGGGTTAAGCACAGAGTCTGGGGTTGTAATGGGCGTATTGTGTCCAAATTTCATGGTTTTCTGACAATCGGTGCCGGTGTCACGGCAAAATTCCACTTTTTTCCCCTCATGGAAGCCGTAAATTGACTTAGAAAAAAAACGACGAAAGGCAGGTGACAAGAACAAACGACTTGAACGAATGCAGGTATCACCTTGAAATTTTCAGGGTACCTAGGTACCAACGTGAAAAGTTGCTCGCCGGAATTTAGTACTCATGGTACCGTTGGTTCCTGTGTAGCGCATGCGCGAAATCAAAACCAGCTAAACTCGAAAACAACCTTGTCGGCACGGAAAACATCAAAGGAGAAATTCGAAGTTTTGAAATATTCAAATACCAAACATTCGACCATGATCCAGGCTATCTTAAAATGTAATAATTTCGGTAATAGGAGACACATTCTCTAAGTCACGACCAATTGTGTATGTTTTCAAGCCCATTAATGTGGATTTTTCACTATTTTTCATTTTCAATTCAAAATGGCGTCCATCAGTTGACCTAAATCAAAATTCTGCGGCGAACATTGTTTAGGCATTCCTTCAAGGATTCGGAAAATATAATTGCCTTGTCTGTAAGTAAAATATCAAAAAAGCCTTAGGGATTTTTCACATTTCAAGATGGTGGCACTTCCGGTTTGAGCTACAAACTCCATTTTTTGTGTACAAATCAGTAGCGTCGTAGCTAGTAAAGAAAAACAATTTCAAGGAAATCGGACCTATATTTCGTTGAATTTTTTGAAAACTTTGATCCTTAATTTCATCAAGGGGAGATAATACAGAAAATGTCTAATGACATTTTTCAAGTCGCATCTGTAAGATCTACTTACATACTTAATTTCACGAAAATCGTGCAACTATTAAAGAAGTTGTCAAGTTGATTTTAACTTCCGGTTCGAAATCACAGCGACAAATTTTCGAAATTCGAAAATCTGAAATTGCAGATTTGAAGTAAATGATTCAAGGTACTCAAAGAATTTGTTTTTAGTACAATAGGTCAAAAAGTCACAAAGTTACAGCAATGTAGGTCAAATGCATTCGTTCGTAAAATTCGGTGATATCGGATGTGTAAAACGTTTTGAAAATATACCTATTTCAAAGCCACCACCCATTCTTGGGGAGGTAGGTCAAAGTTTCAGAAAGATCCCACGGTTAGATTCTGAGATATAAGATTTGCAGGAAAAACACCAAAAAAAAAATAATAATAATAATAATCTTAACAGAAACAATAAGCTTTCATATGTAATACATATGAAAGCTTAATAATTTTAACAAAAAAATAGTGTTTCACACAGGCTACGCAGTGTCAAACCCTTATAATAAGAATAATCTTAACGAAACCAATAGTGTTTCACACAAACTACGCAGTGTGAAACCCTAAATATTGAAGAGTGGAACACAGTTTTTCTGTATTTTCGAGTGACATGAAATCGTGTGATTCTGGTTCGGCGGCCATTTTAAAATGAACAGAAATTTCGCATAGCAGTTGGGTTTAATCAAATCATGCAGTTATGTGGTAACTGAAAGGTTTCCCCTTCATTCCAATGGGAATTGGTTTATATATGTTAAGCTATGTACAGTACAGTTTGGGGTCAGTGTATTAGGTAATTAAGGGAGTTATAGGCCAGTAACATTTTTGTAGTCAAATGACTGCAAAACTTGCTCAAAGGAAGTCCTTAGGATGATCCACTACTGTGGCTGGAGCAAGACGGAAGACATCAGTAGTGGAACCATTTCTAAGTTATCACATGCCACGGGCTGTTTGTTTAAAAGTATTTTTTTTTTCAATTTCAGAATAAAATGGATCAGTGTTTGACAAAGGTGATGAGAAGTATTGGTGAGGCTTTGAAATTAGATGACAACAATAATTATCATGTAAGTTGTAAGAATAGTTGATGACATTTGGGTTGAGATATTAATATGCTACATCTCGGTATAACTACTTGTTTCAACATTGGACATCATTCTTCAAAATCTTGAAAATTGACTGGTTGGATTTGCAAAAGGGCCTGTTTTGACAGGTTATTTGTCACACGATTTTAATAGCCATCATAGGGGCTGGGGGGAGAGAGATGCCCCCGATAAACTGAGTTGATTTGCTGAATTTGCAAAATTTTCATAATAAACTGAAAATGTCTGTTTATAGTATCAGTCCCTGTAGCTCAAACGTATTAAAAACTAGCCAAATATCTTCCAATTCTAACCCAATACTACGAAATAAAACCACATATAGTAGGGGGAGAGTTGGGTCCGAGAGGCCGATTTGTTTTTATTTTACAGATAACTTTAGTTACAAATCAAAAAGGATAACTAATCTTTTGTGGAATTATACATATTTTTCTCACATCACTCAGGATAGCCCATCAGGCCTAATGATGTGGTTCCTTTAGACCACCTCATGGGGACCAATGGACCGTTCAACGGTTACAATAAGATATACAAACATTCAAGAGCTTTCATTTAATTTAATTAAAGGATGAATAAAAACTATAATTTTGGCGCATATTTATGGAAGTAAGATCATAAAAACCGGACTATTCAATATCATAGTCATCAATGGAAACATTAAAGCAAATAATTCCTAGTGGTCTTTTTGTGGTTTTTATTATTATACGCCCACACTGAAATGTGGTCGTATATTGTCGTCGCCCCCGTCCACCGCTCCGGCGTCCACAATTGGTTGTGGACACTCTAGAGGTTAAAGTTAATATCCAATTGACTTTAAACTTATTCAGTGTTTTTAAAAGGTCATGATTTTCAGCGATTTCCGATAATTACTACCAGAGTTATGGCCCTTGATTACTTTGAAAAATCTTGTGGACGCTCTAGAGGCTAAAGTTAATATCCGATTGACTTCAGATTTATACACAGTTTTTAAGGCCATGAGATGAAGAAGTCTATTGATTTTTAATGAATTCTGATAATTACTACCAGAGTTATGACCCTTGATCACTTTAAAAATCTTATGGACGCTCTAGAGGCAAAAGTTAATATCAGATTGACTTTAAATTGATACACAGTGTTTAAGGTCGTGAGACGAAGAATCCTATTGATTTTCAACGATATCCGATAATTACTGCCAGAGTTATGGCCCTTGATCACTTTGAAATATCTTTCTGGACGCTCTTAAGGCTAAAGTTAATATCCTATTGACTTTAAATTTGTACCCAGTGTTTAACTAGTTTAAGGTCATGAGACGAAGAAGTACATGTATATTGATTTTCAATCAATTTTGATAACTGAAACAGCTAAATTCTTAATATTAAATGTTTTGTATACTAAACGTTAGGATAGGGCAGAACTAAAAGCCAAACAAATTCTAATGATTTTCTGACAATTACTTTATGAGTTGTTACTCGTGTATTATAAATGTTTCATTACCGACAATAGAAAAAATATGCGACAACTCTTGTTAACTGCTCAGATGACTTAGCTGCTGTGGGCGTATGTATCTTTATTGGTTCGGGAAGCATAGCTACTATATTTGACAATTGTCTCGAATGCACATATGGTATGCTTTTTGGCTCTTATGAAAAAATTTATTTCAAAGCCACCATTTTTATCACCATTCTTGATAATACCAACATAGCCAGGGGCTGGGGGAAAATGCTTAAAACATGTGCGTTAGATCCATAAGATCTGTCATTGAGTCAAGTAGTGTTTATAACCCAAAGATCTTGGTTCCTTTCGATATTCGCACATATCGGATCTAAACTTCCTGAATTATGGCCCCTGATTGTACGTAAAATTGCGTTTCTAGCCTGTGGTCCCTCAAGAGGTCACAATTATTGTCTGATTTTAAAAAAATGTTCGAAAATGTCACCGTTACACCGTATTGTTGGTTGAGTTCGAATTTCACGTAAATCGGACCAAAACTGCCAGACAAATTTTGATTCAATTTCGATAAAACTTGAAATGCATGTTTATAACCCAAAGATCTTGGTTTCTTTCGATATATCTAATCGTACATTTTTGTTTAGCTTGTTCTCTATTCATCTCTTGAAAAAAGTGGGCATAGCCTGCCTGGCAGCCGCTGGTTTTGTATGACCTAAGATATATTTTATTTATTATAGGATGCCTATTTACAATATGTAGAATGTGTATTGAATATTGCTAGTAATCTCCTGCAGTATGTCAGAGCAGATGGTATGTATTAGAGCCGAGTATTGCAGCCCAAAACTTAACTGCAATATATTGCCGTATTTCTACTAGCCATATTATAATATTGCAATATATTGCAAGATATGGTGGTATTTTGTATCTAAAAATATTCAGAATGATCAAAATGCATATAAAATAACACATTTTGTTTGACCAACAACAATTAACAGTCAAATGATGTCTGTTCACTGTGACCAACAAGTGTCATTATTGTTTTGAAAAGTTAATAAGATAAAGGATTAAATATATGAAAAAATGAGAACAAATATTCATTAAAAATATTGTGATACATGTATATTTACTTCCAGGACTAATATTAATACATTTTTAGACGAAATGTATTGCAATATATTTATATTCTGGTACTGTTTAATGTGACCATTTTAATATTAGAATAAAACTATATTTTTGGTTTAGGAGGTAAGATTATTATCAGTAAATCTGTAGAGAAGCAGATTGAATTGGGTAAACAATGTATGGAAAGATTGTCATCACTTCGAGAAGAATTTAGTAAGTTTAGATTTTGTCATTTTATATTAGGGAAAGCGTTTTGAAAAAAGACGAATATATTACTTTTTGGGGAAGTTCCTTTGATCTGTTGTTTCATGTAATAGTACATTTTTCACCCAGTTTTCACATTGTATTAACCTTATGGGCATATATTTTGGTACCAGGCAACCTATCTTTTCTGAATAAAATGATCTGGGCTCTGCTTATCCGTTAGATGGACATTTTATTTGATTCAGAATGAAATGTTGACACATACAACAGGTATACTAACTTGATGAACTTAAAGTTGTAATCCAGGGCTGTAGTTATTAAATGTCAAGGTCAATATGAGTTAATTAGAAGTCTACTGGTATAATTATTTGATCATGTTTTGATTAATGTAGCAGCATTTGAACAGACAAAAACAACACAATCACCTCATGTCAAACAGATTGGAAGATTTGCTGCTCCAGTGCCACCATTACCTTCAAATAATACAGATGCTGCTTACAGTTTGAAGAGGTTGGTTTTAGTCTGAGTATGCTTTGGAAAATGATAGGCAATTTTTGTCTCAATAAGCTGTCAATAATAACATAATATTTAATTAAACATTGGAGATGTACAGTTGCTAACTAAAATGTGCTTAAACAATAATTCCAATCCAGTTTTGAGGGTATCTTATGACAAATACAAAAATTAAAATTGTCCCTTTAATTGTGAACATGTCTTTTCTATCCATTTGATTCTGCCAGTTTAAGGAGGTTTATGGTGCAAATCTATTGGCAATAGAGAATATAGAATGAAAATTGAGGAATCTTTTGTATTTTACAATGATGTTTGTTTCTTTTGTACATGTAGAACATTAACACCAACAGAAATTGCTTTTCGTCAAAATCAGTCCATAATGAGAGCTTATAAGGCTAGAATGGCAAAAATGAGTAGTGGCAATCCACAGGCAGCAAGTTTGGTGGGTATATATTCTAGATATACATATCTACAAAATAGTTGATTTTTCAATGTAATTGTTTCAACTTGCTTTTATACGCCCTTATACTTGCTTTTATATTGCCGTCATCCTGTACAGCTGTTAACAAATTTACTTATCGATAGAGGCTACAGTTTTTAACAGATCTTTTTCAGAATGTTGTTGTATTCAGTTAATTATCATATTGTTGCTTCAAAATAAAACCAAACCAAAGCATTTAAACTGGTAAATTCAATCAAGCCATGTATTCAGATAATTATGACACAGTTTCTTCAAAATTAAATGAAATCAAAGCACTTAAACTTGATCAGTTCTTGTCTGCAATATCACCAATCAACCAAATCTTGGCTAATTTGGATTCAATTATTACCCCCTCTACACCACAGCCCCAATTTATGATATTAATAAAATAGAATAAACATGATACACACAAATTTATAATTTGTATACCACATCCATCATTTTAGTATACACCTGCCTTAGGCTGTACCGTGTACACCACATAGAAAGTAAAATCTCATTAATCTGGCAATAGAATTATGATAAAGGTATAAACACTTGTTTAAGATACATTGTCATGGGTACTTTAATTATTTCATTTGTGTTTATACATGTTAAGTTGCTATTCACACCTCGGTACACAAGCCTCTGAAATTCTAGTCAACATCGTTACCTAAGTCATTATTGGTCAACATTCTTAATAGGATTAATGACATAATCTACCTAACTCTTTGTTTTCTCAATCACTTCTGGTTCTGCTTGCTGAAATCAGATGTTATTATGATGAGATGGTGGTTGTCACTCATGGATAAACTCATGTCTTTTGTTTACACTATATAAAGAGGCATTTTCTCATCACCAATATATTGATCCGAAAACTACAGAGCTAAAGGATCGTTGTCTTCTCTCACAATGGTACATAAAATATATGTTAGAATATGAAAGGTAACACATCATATTTTGAGATGGTTAAAACTTAAAAGATAATTCTGTGATGTAGCAGATACATGTACTGTAGCTGACCATTTCTTTTTTATCTTAGCATTCAGTTAATTTTGGCACTTGGTGCATTAAAGCCTTTGCCATTAAATTTGACAATTTGGGGTGTCTGAATTCTGTGTTTTCATTGGACATTTAGTGTTGCACTTTCTGTTGAATTGAATACGTTATGTATATGATTGGTTTTTTTTCACATTTTATTTCAGAGTTTAACAATTCAAAGAAAGTTAGCTGAAAATCTAGCTATAGCTAATGCTCAAGAACAGGCTGTATCTTTTTAAATATCTGTTTTGGTATATTAAATATTGTTTGTCTTTTAGATGTCAGTAAAAACATTATATATGTTAGAGTTTTAATTGAGATAATTATTTTGTAAAGCTCCAAAGATTATTTGGCGAGAATTAATTGTTTTTTTAATCGCATGCATGCCATACATAATGTTCATAATAAGTGCAGGTGGGCTGTATATACCACACTTAAAGATAGATTCCTGCATACAAACTTGGCGATTTGATGATATATATATGGAGTAAAAACATATTCAAACTAATTAATTTATCATAATTTTGCTTCAAATCCTTCTCAAAACATTGTATTTGTCAGGGAATACCCCTGCTATAAAAAATCAATCAAAAGAGGTCATGTTTGTGTCACGTGACTTTGCTGCATCAATACCTAGTAACAGGTGCGAAGCAGGAGGAAATTCATTGCAAATACAAGACGACATTGTCTTATAATCACAGATTATTTATCATAAATATCGAAGCCCAATAAATTCTTGGATTATCCACTGCCCAAGTCTTTTTCTGTGGTTTTTATCTCAGAAACTGTTGTACCATCCAGTTTATCAATATAGACATCAAGTGCTCACTAACGCTGGGAGATTAGACAATCTTCGCATGCTACCTTTGACATTACTCGTGCAGACATCACTAATCGTCGGGTTGTCTGTTAGGGAAACCCTTACATTTTAGTCCTGTATGCACACCATAGGTGTTTTTCAGGGAATCCAGTATTTTTTTAGTAAGATTGGATGTTTCTACTTTACATATATACCAAAATTGCCATACTTTTATTGTAAATAACCACCTGATAAATACCTTTCTAGGAAAGTATCTTTAACAAGAATCGAAAACATGGATATTGTTTGCCACGTAAGACCAAATAAATGGATAAAGGGCCTAATGTAATCTAAGCATCAACTGTAAAGCATTGCTTAATTTGAAAGTAAAATGACTAATATAATATTTGTAAATATCACTGCACATAATAGAGTTTACTTTGTTAAACATACATTATGCAAGAGCTAAATCTGCCTATTGCAGGTCTTTCTTTAGTCCTGAAATGTTATCTGATTTATTAATTAGACATTAATAAACTTATCTAGACCATAATAAACTCTCGATGCCATGATAAGCCTGCGATTATTTAGTAGATTTGAATACATTTGTGATTGATAATATAACGTAAAAATCGATAATCATACCAATGTTAGTAATGACAACTGAGACTAGCCTACAATTAAATCGCTAATATCTAGGTTTAGAGTGTAGCAGCTTGACTGAAATTTTCAGCATATTCTGTTTTCATTATCTATTTTTTTTAAAACTATTATAGCAAGACCTGTCAGCTTTTTATCTAATCCGGGCCACGGTGGCTAAGTGGGTAAGAACAGTTGGACGTTGAACCCCATTTCATTTCAGTTTCTTTATCTAATTTTACCTAATGCCACTGTAAGTATTATATAATTAAAATTAATTACTATTAGGTATTCTATAATTAAAATTATTTCCAAGGAAAGACTAAAAACAATACATTGTTAAAGTTAGGCCATCAATCCAAAAATGTCATAAGGCTTCTAATTTGAATAGTATATCAGGCAAGTGTACTATTAGTGTGAGATTTGTCTGCGGTATATCACCCAAGGCAGATGCAGACGTTAAGCTTCAAGGAACGAATGAAACAACTAGTAACCTATGATTGTTAAAAAGAGGTAAATAGGATTTCATTTAGTTAATAAACAAATTTAGCATTAATCTGTAAAATCAGAAAACAAGTTTTTGTTAACGATAATCTTGGCAAATCAATATGTTGATATACTAGTTTAGCATAGAGATATCAAAGTACAAAACCTTATTTGTAATGAAGATTAGTAATAGTGTGGTGGTGAAATGGTACAATAGGATTATCTCAGATTTTTACACATGCTTGACATTCTTTTAATAGCACACCTGTGTTGTTTTTGTGATAATAAATTACAATAATACATGAACAAACACATAGGTCTGGTATGGCTGTGTGGCCAATAATAGAAATGTTATGACTTATTGAGACTGATCTAATCATATATTTGTATTGAAAGTCACCTTTAGATCTTAATCAAATCATTGATATAGATCCATGTCATATTGTGTGTGGACATTATTCGTAGTTTTATGTTCAAATAGGTCAAACATGTGCTTGGACATTGATTTTTCCTTAATCAGACTTATAGTTATCAGAGAAAATGAGAGATACTCAAAGGAGACTAGATGATCAAGCGGCTAGGTGGGTATATCTTATCTGTGTTTCATGATAATTTGACTTATTAAAAATTCTATAATTGTTGAGTAAATGCATATTTTTATTTTAAAAAAACAACAAACAAATAAAACTAAGAATGTAAACAAAAGTTTTTCTAAGGATTTCATATGTATTATTTTAAAAAAGGTATTGGTGAATATGATATTTTTTTTTTCAATTCAAGAAAACTGTTTATATAATTATAAGTAGCCAAGTAATCAATGCTTTGATAATTGTAATGTCAGATTTATGTAATCATTTGACTAAATGAAATACTACTGTATTTATGTATGAATTTGACATTGAGATGTACACCAATATGACTGTGTTGAGTTTAGGAAAATTTAAATGTATATTTCAGGAGGTTTGCCTCACCTGTAGGTATGTCTGAAGATGAACAAGAACAGAGACATATATATAAGAAAATATTACAATACGAGCAGCAAGCTGTAAGTAACTTCAAATCATTAAGTTTTTTCATAAATTTTTCAACTTTGTAAATATTCTGTCAAATTTTGTGACAGGATAAGCTTCAAAAACAAACTCAAAGTATTATTATTTCAATCAATATTTTAAACGTCATAAGACAGTGGGTCCATTTTGTAGCAACCCATTTGAACTAGACATTCCAAAAGGTGAGAATTACTATTCTTTAATGCATTTATAAGTTGCAATATTTCTTCAATTAAGATATCGCAAGAAAGTTCACCATAAAAATCATATATTGCATACGTCATTGAGTTTGGTTAATGTGAATATATATGGTTACTGTCGTTGTGAATTATTGAAGAATTTAATTCTTTTGTAGAAATGGTTATTGGAATGGAGAAAGAAACTGTCCAATTCACCAAAAGATCCTGTTATTATTAGTCAACTTATTACAGAAATACTCCGGTTTGTACTGTAATCTCATGATATAATTATTCTAATGCTTTTATAGTCTGTGATTTGTGGTGTAGCTAAATATATCTATCCAAAGTATGGTAACAAATTCATTTCAATGTAGACAGATTTACACAGATAGTGTAAATTGGTACAACAACAATTTTTTGTATTATATTGTGACCATAATCATACAGGGCCCTAGTATAAATTCCGTGAAATGTAACCATATTATTTTCCATATTTTCAGATGTGAAGACCATCCTCTGACAGTGTTGTTAAAGAAATATCAGTATAAGATATATGAAAGATTGTACCCTTTAGTTTCCACCAAGATGGCAGATATCAATGAGATATCTGTTCCACTACCACTTAAATATTATCCATCAAATGTAACACCTACAGAGATGTCACCAGAAAAAGTTGATAATGAAAAGAGTGTAGAATGTGTTGACGGTGCAAAAAATGTTAACATTGGGAATAATAATATTCAAACAGACAATAAAGATGACTGTGATATTGGTAGATCCAAAAATGTAGACATTGGCAAAAATAATATTGAGACAGAAAATAAAGATGACTGTGATAATGGTAGTTCAGGAAATGTAGACATTGGGAATAATAGTATTGATAAAGATAATAAAGATGACTGTGATATTGTGTCGGACACTGAAAATGTGATGACAAATTTAGAAATTGCTGTTGATAAAAATGAACAATTGTGTCAAAATTTAGAAGAAGAAAACCAAAAAGTGTCACTGACTTATCGTTCCTTATCAAAAGAATATGAACAGTACAACGATGAAGATATGGATGATTTGTTTGACGATGATAATGATGATGCTGGAAGACCTGAATGTGATAAGGCAGACTATTTACCGAAGCCAAGTAATCAGGACTCATATGTTGTTTTATCGGTGAAAGATGTTAATCAACAATCTAATTCTAAAGACAAGTTTTTCAATTTTAGAAGGCAGAGTTTAGAATGTGAGAAGTTAAAAGATGAAGCATATTGTAGACATTTAAAGAGTATGTCACAAGATGTTCATAACGCGTTAGAGAAATTGATAGTTATGTTTGCTATAACGTATGAAGAATTAGATAGTGCGGAGGGACAAGACCAGTGTTACGCATCTCTTGAAGAACCATTCTTTAAACCAATATGGAAATATCTACTGACTCTATTCAGGTACCTATTATGACTTATTGTAAATATATATAAATATATATTTTACTTTGCTAATGAGTTCTCACTGAAAAAGTAGAAATTAAGAAATAATTAGATAAAATGCGTGTGTTGTAAAACAGAATTTATTATGTGTTTGGCCTAACTTAATGAGGCATATTAATAATTGGTGTGTAAATATTCAATATATTTCTTCTTTTTTTACAAATTTAGATTATCGAATAAAAATCAAGAGATAACCCTGGCTTACAATATGACAAAACATACTCTGTCTACACCTGAGGATTATGGTGTATCTAAAAAACTTTGTTTAACATCTGATATGAAAGGTTTATTACCATTTCAAAGTGCTATTGATGAACTTTGTAAATTAAAGAACCACTATACAATGCTCAGTAAACTTGAATGTGTTGGTAAGTATAAGTTTGGTGTTTATAAGCCCACATCTTATTATACCACTGCCCTGATTCTGAATTATCAATAAAACTAAAATAGAATTTTATTTAATAAATGAAATGGTGTTTAAAGATGGTTTCCCGGGTACAAACTGGGTGATTTAATGGTATATATGGACTAAAAACATTCAAACTAATTAATTTGTCATAACTTTGCTTCAAATCCGTCTCAAACATTGTAATTGCGAAGGAATGTCCTGCTATAAAAATTTGATCAAACCGGGTCATGTTTACGTCACGTCTTGGAAGTCAGAGGAGAATTCATTGCATACATAAAACGATGTTATCTTTAATCGCTTACTATTTATTACAAATATCGAATCCTAATTAAATTCTCGGATTATCCACTACCCGCGTCTTTTTCCATCATTTTTATCTCAGAAAGTGTTGTACGTCTAACTCTTCATAAAGTTTGTCAACTTGTACATCAAGCGCTCAATGTTCGCGTGTGACCTTTGACATCACGCGTGCAGAAATTCCTAATTGTCGGGCTGTTGATTAGGGGAACCCTTACATTTTTGTCCTGTATACGCTCCATGAGTGTTTTTCGGGGAATCCAGTATTTTTCTAGTAAGATTGGATATCTCTACTTTCCATATATACCAAAATTACCTTACTTTTATTGGAAATAACCACCCGATCAGTACTTTCCTGGGAACCCATCTTTAACGTCATACTGTTCTGCTCCGACTGGGCTAATAAAGATGGGCATACGCCGGACAGCGGCACTATGGCCTACTCTTATATTGAATTCCAACTGCAAAGCGTTCTTTTACGTGCATGCCAGTGTGTTCACAGGACTTTGGTTATTTAACATACTACTTTTCTGCACCAACTGGCTAGAAATATGCTATCAGGGACATACATGTATTTGCCAGTATGGCAATTGAATTTCAACTGTAAGGGTTCTTTTACGTGCATGCCACTGTATACGGGGGGTTGGATGGCCGAATGGTTAGCACATGCGCGCTGCGCTGTATCATATGTTCTGTCATTGAGTCAACTGGCGGGATTTCGATTCCCCAGTTGTACGTGACAAGGAGTAGGGTCGCCTGTCCAACCTCGTGGGTTTTCTCCGGGTCCTCCTGTTTCCTCCCACTGCTAAAGACCCCTACGCGCAAGTGAATTATTGAAATGAAATTGAACCATGTGTTAGTCCCGAAATGACCTAGTATGTGTCGAGTGGACGTTAAATCCCATTTCTCTCTCTCTCTCTCTCTTTATGCCACTGTATACACAGGACCTTGGTTTCTCATGTCATTCAAATGACTAGACACTGTCCTTGCCAGCCTCCGTTATGCACCACTGACAAGTGTGAAACCACGAAAGTGGGGAAATGACCTGGTAAGGGTTGGTTGTGTGGATGTTAAACACAGTTTTCCTCATTCTGCATAGCTTATAAAATATTGTTTTAATTATAGTTAATGTATGTCGACTGGTTTGTGATTGTGTAGAAAACTTTTATGTTACTAAACAAATAGAAGCGGGAGAAATATCGAGTACACCAAGTGTGTAAGTAAATTATATATGTACTTTAACACTTTAAAACTAGTGCTCCCTGAACTGTCAGTGTCATATGAACAGGTATTGTGCCTACAACTAGTAAACAATCATATAATACGTTGAGCTATTTACATGATATTGGTGGTTTGAGGCCGACAAGGGAGCCGTATTTTGGACATATCAGTATGAAAAAGACCACTTTTCTCATAATTTATTTTTTGTGCAAAGAAGGAGGGTTTTCAATTGTTAAATATCTACTTTTTAGAGTATGAAATAGTCGAAGTCAACATTGAAATTTACAAGTATGCTGGACGGTTAGAAGGTTAAGTCATACATACGACGTATATCCCATTTTTTCACTAAATGAAGGAAATAAATGGAACTGAACCATTTTACTTGAATAAAAATACAATTATAGGGATAAATGTAAACATAAAAAGACAAACACTTTGACAGAATATACATAAACTATGTTCCAAACAATTTAAACAACTTTAAAGCAATACTGCTCAATGTTGTGAACAAGGTTTCTATTTATTGTGGTGCCAGTAATTATATGTATATGTAATTTGTTTGTAGTGGAGCTGATGATCTTCTACCTATTTTAACTTATATTGTTATAAAGAGTGGTATACCCCAACTAGTTTCTGAATGTCAAGCCATGGCTGAATTTATACATGAAGGGTAGGTATCTTTATTACTTTCTAAGATATAATTATTTAATCCTTTGACGTTGGACATCACTTATAGAACCATTGATATACTTTATTTGAACTATGAGGAATAAAATAAACGTTGAAAATCACTAAGCTTCTTCGTCTCATGACCTTAAACGCTGTGTATAAATTTAAGGTCAATTGGATATAAACAATTCTGTCCAACGATACTGCCATTAGAAGTAACTCTTCATTAATTAAGCAACATATGAAATGAATACTACATTACCAGGTACACTGTGTAATAGCACAAGCAGACATCTTTGGTAATTACTGATAATTTATTGTTACAGGTGGTAAGAAATCTATTTGCAAGTTGTAAGAAATATGATAATTTCAGAAAAAATTAGTTTTCAAATTGAAATAGATTATCTGTTTTTATACGCCCACATTGAAATGTGGTCATATATTGTCGTAACCCCCGGCCGGCGTCCACAATTGCTTGTGGATGCTCTAGAGGCTAAAGTTAATATCTGATTGACTTTAAATTTATACACAGTGTTTAAGGTCATGAGACGAAGAAGCTTATTAATTTTCAGCAATTTCCAATAATTACTGCCAGAGTTATGGCCCTTGATCACTTCAAAAATATCTTGTGGATTCTCTAGAGGCTAAAGATAATATCCGATTAACTTTAAATTTATACACAGTGTTTAAGGTCAGCGACTTCCGATAATTACTGCCAGAGTTATGGCCCTTGATCCCTTCAAAAAATAGTGTGGACGTTCTAGACGCTAAAGTTAATAATTGATTGACTTTAAATTTATACACAGTGTTTAAAATCATGAGACGAAGAATCCTAATGATTTTCAGCAATTTCTGATAATTAGTGCCGCAATTTCCGTTATGGCCTGTGATCACTTTGAAAAATCTTTTGGATGTTATAGAGGCTAAAGTTAATATCCAATTGACCGTAAATATATACACAGCGTTTAAGGTCATGAGACGAAGAAGCTGAGTGATTTTCAACGTTTATTTTATTCCTCATAGTTCAAATAAAGTATATCAATGGTTCTATAAGTGATGTCCAACGATATTTGATAATTATTGCTAGAGTTATGGTCCTTGATCACTTTGAAATATCTTGTGACGCTCTAGAGGCTTATGTTATCATCCGATTGACTTCAGATTGATACACAGAGTTTAAGGTTTGGAGACGAACAAGCATCAATGAATTTTGATAACTTGGACAGCTAAATCCATGATATTAAATGTTTCGTATGCTAAATGTTAGCATGGGGCAGAACTTTATAAAAACCAAACAAATGCTAATGATTTTCTGATAATTACTGAATGAGTTGTTACTCTTAATCAGATTTTAGTTTATTATAAATGTTTCATTACGGAAAAAAGTAAAAATATGCGACAACTCTTCTTGACTGCCCGGATGATTTAGCTGCTGTGGGCGTATGTTTCGTTGCCTGGCAACCTATCTTTAATACTTTGGTTCTGTCAGCTCAGTAGAACTAATATTACTATCGGTTCAAGGATTTTAAAAATATATATGTAACACTAATGTTTTATTTTACAGATATATTATGGGCGAGGAAGGATATTGTTTAACTTCACTTCAAACTGCAATTACATATGTCTGCTCTACTGACAAAAGTTGAAAGATCCACCTCTTATTAGTTACACTGGCACTTCTGCTAACAGTTGAAACATCCACCCCTCGTTACTTGAGCATGCTCTACATCCAACAATTGATGATCAATATCTCCTGTCAAAAGGCCCAGGTTTACACACAGTTTATATAAATTTCTAACATTACTGTGATTTAGAAATCAGAAATAAATGTTAGACATTTGTCACAAGATTGTTTTCAAATGATCTAGCTAGTGATCTTTGAATCCAAATGCCTGTTTTGTTAAACCTTGATTGTGGTGATGGATCTCCTGATCCTGCTGTTAAAAGGAATGCCAATCTAAGCTGCCAACAGTGCTAATCCAATTTAAACTATCCAGTTTCTTTTATAACCATTTTAGTACAAAATGTCCAACAATCCTATGAGATAAGTATTGGAAAACCAGTGGTTAAACTTAGGTAGTTAAAATCTTGGAAACAAAATTTATTTTTAAACAGGTTCAATACAGTGGCTTATTTTTGTTATATATATATATATATATAAAATCTTTCAAGAGAGTATGTCTACTATGCTTCAGTTGAAAGATCCACTCCGTATTTGTTGTTGAGATTTGAATACAAAACTACATCCTTTAATAAACTGTGTAGCTAAAATTTATAGAGCAATAAAGTGTATACACGTAATATAATATATTATATTTAGTCGGTATCTGATATGGGTATATTTGATAGTGCGTAAGGCTCTATTCTTTGAAATTTTAAATGGGCCTAAATGCAGATATTAATAATTAATGTATGTAAAGTTATTTATATTCAATATATTTTAAAAGAAATATTGCAATTTCTAATGAATTATATTCGGGGAAATACATGAACAGTCCAAATTGAACGGCAGTCGTTTACGTCTGCTATGTCCCCTCTACACATCTTTTATTATTATTGTCTTTTATGAATAACCCCAAGAAAGGTATCAATAAAACGCATATCTTCACGTTATGTCATTTATTGCTATTTGTATTGTTGAAGCTTGTATCAAATACAGGTATATTTTATAAAAACTGTTCTTGTATAAGATATTAAATGTTTTTGTTTAATAATTATTGTTAAATTTTATGGATATTTATATTGCTTAATAAAATCATATACCGGTATATTGTAAATTTCATTTCATGTTTTCCACCCTCCATTACCGCCCTTTGCATTATCTATTTCTTTGTGGTAGAATGGCCACCAACATCTGCAGAGGAATTCCCTTATAGAATGGAATGAGGTTTAAGATGTTAAATGAAAAAGGGGGTATAACGTGCTACATATCCCCTTAACTCTTCATCAAATTCCTATCTAGTTCTCCTATCCAAATGACTTTAACACCTTTTCTTGTCAAGCCACTATCCTGCACCTCTTAAAAGGGGGAACCAGACTGGGCAATCTTGTGGAACAATCTCGGCCAACAGGAGCTCAATCCGGGACCTGAGAAGTTAGACAGTGCCATACTCACTGAGCCACTTTCATGAGAACAGCTTGGAATGGGGATTATTGATTAAGGTTTAATCGGTACTTTGCGGCTTTACTCCACAGAGTCTAATTTATTTTATTTCTATGCTTACATGGTCAATACCATAAGAAATTTGCTCCAGGATGTCAGTTTGTTAGTCTATTATATACTCTTCAAAAAAAAGTAGGGGATATTGAAATGCAAATACCTATGCAGGTTGCAATATGATAAATAGTCATGGACATTTGACATGCTTTGAGAGTATGTTCACAGATGAAGAACTTATCGCCCCAACAGAACCACTGAGCTGGACATGCAACACGCAATATCACCATACACGTGGGAGGGCTTCATTGTCAAATGTGACACTTCAAGGAAGGGTTGATGAAAACTGCCACGTGCTGGTTTATCTATCCATAGATTTACTGTTTGTTTAGCGTATCTTTGCTTTAGTGTGTTACATTTAATTTGATCGAGGTGGGGGGGGGGGGGGGGTGGATGGCTGAATGGTTAGCATGTGTGCGCTATATCATGAAGTCTGTCATTGAGTCAACTGGCATGGTTCCGGTTGTATGTGACAAGGAGTAGGGTCGTGGGTTTACTCCGGTTTCCTCCCACTGGTAAAGACCCCTACGCGCAAGCGAATTATGGAAATTTAATTGAACCATATGTTAGTCCCGAAATGACCTAGTTTGTGTCGAGTGGAGGTTAAACCCCATTTCTCTCTCTTTAATTTGATCGGGAATCGTGTTCGTCGACATCAACGTCAACAGACATGTGACAACCCTGTAAGAATTGGCCGTGGCACTGCAAGAGGAGTGGGTCAGCTGAGGATTGGTGGAGCACTTACTCATTATTAAGACAAAAATCAAAAACGTCCATTTTCACTTTTGACGTTTATCTCTGCAAATGAAATGGGGCCGTCAGATAAACCGCCAATATGAACTGTTTATATTCATGTGTAGGCAGTTGGCCTGTTATTAACATACACTGGTCACCTCTAATAAAAACAGCAGTGCATTTCCGCAGTTTTGTATTGTTTCTGAATATCCCCTACTTTTTTTGAAGAGTATATTTAGTTAAATTTATATATAGTTAAATTAACAAGCCAACAGTTAGACTGCATCAGCTGGTGTGACATATTTAGTTGGTGACCTTCACAAAATATTAGATATACTAATAATATTTATTTATTCAGTATATAGATCTATAAATACAAATAACATTAGAAAATACATAACGATTTTTCAAGCAATTACACAGAATTTGGTATATAATTTATTGATGGATAGTTTTTAATATGATAAATTGTTTAGTAAATAAATTGGTTTTGAGATATAAATATAATGCAATATAATAATATTGAACAATGATAAATTAATATTCTATTTCCAATATACAGCTTGCTTATTATTTTAATGATATCTGATAATCAAATATAGTTATAGTCTAAAGTTTCACTATTTACAATTAAATTGTCTTATATGCATAGTTTTATACCAGGATAACAATCAAGTGAATTGATATTGTAACTGTTACATAAACGATGGAAGTTTGCTTTATTAGGGGGTGGCTGATATACTGATGAGGTATATAAATTGGTCGTAAATGTTTATACTGGTTACACCCAAGAATTAAATGAAACAAGTCTTCGATAATACCACAGTTACATAGTACCAAAAGGACTGTTGCTTTGGTTACGTCTAAATAAATTGTGGGCTTCCGGAAACAAATTAAGACGTAATTTTGTAATATTTCTTTTTGTCCACCACCTCTGGAAGAAAGCAAGGGGCTGTTAAAATGGGTCTGCCAGTCCTGTCTGTCCGTTCTTCATACATTTTTGGGACACAGTAACTTTCCTTCTAATTGAGCTAAAATGTTCAAACTTGGTGTAGGTGTTTATTAGGCGAATGCCTTTATGGAGTTCAAAGATGTAATTTGATTGGCTGATACTTTGGGACACGATAACTTCATTTCTAATTCAGTGAGAGTGATGAAACTTGGTTTGTAGTTCCATTACATCAATACATTGGCTTAGTTTAAAGGCTCAATACCACTCTTGTTGTAACTGAATAATATGCCCCAATCTTTATTCTGGTCAACAGATTGTACTATTTTACAATATTCCAATTAATTGCAGCCTAAATTCCCCCAAATTCTCAGGGAAATAAAAATATTTTTATTGATATTAATTATTAAGACAGAAGACCTGTCCGTCTGTTTTAGTCATCACACGGTCTATAGGAATTGTATAATTTGTCATTATCTGTGTTTAGTTTATTGCACTTTAGTTTAGATGTCATTTGTTAAGGCCTCGGTCAACAGCGGCCTCGCTTCGTACACTCTATCATTTCATTTCGATCTAAAATTTCCGGGAGTTAGACTTTGCTGTAGCTAGAAAATCCCTATTTATGATTGTATGTTGTATTTGATAAAATATCCATATACGGGTGTCAAAAATAAAGACTGATAGTATTTTTTAATAAAATACAAATACATCTAAATACGTATTTTTAATGGCATAACCCTGGCAGAGGTTGGGGTGGAGGAAGGAATGGGGTTTTGCATGAAGTTGTTCGAAATGTCCATTCAATAATTAAATCGAAGTTGAGATGAATAAAATATAATTCAATTTTCGAGTGATAAATTACAATTATCACTAAAAAAAACGACCATTTTTGAATCATAACTTTATTGTCTCTAATCCATCGAAATGGCGTTTCCCGGCTTCTAATTTTAAAAATTTTCCGAGAGAGGGCCCCGCGGACCCCCCTTGCATGCTCATGCCTGCGGAATTCGGTGTGGGGCGGCGCTGCCACCCACACGATCTGCGGCCAGTAAATTTAATTTACCATGAACACACTTGCAGAAAATTGCCCCACCCCCCGAAAAATTTTTTTGCACGACGCCCCTGACCCACAGGGCACCCGACATCCCTTCACACAGGGGCGTCCTATTACCAGTAACCCTCAGGATGATCACTTATGGATCCCGTCCGTTGGGTTTTGGAGTAAAACTGCAAGTCTTCACAGAGTAGACTCTTTTCGTTCCTCCGGGGTCACATCAAAATAGCTAGGATACCAATCTCACACACGAAGTCGAGTCGTAGATTAACTCATAGATCTCGTGTTTGCTTAGTCGGAACAAAATGAACCTTATGGGCTTAAAGGTACGGTACCTGAGCGTTTCTTTCACCTTCAGCGTTGTTATTAACCGGCAGATTTTCCTGCTGGGGTGATTTACAGATAACTTTAGCGTTTAAGGACTGATCGGATCTGAATCTGTATGTATTGATCTTCGCAAGGCAATTTTCGCAATCAGAGCTGACCCGTAGCCCAACCATACTTTTAAATTCATTCATGCTATAAGGGAGTTGGGACACATGGTTCTTCCAGTTTTGACCCCTTTAGGGCAAGCCTGTCCACCTTTTCGCCCCCGACCTAGGTTTAAATAGGAGTGGAACCATGGATGTCAATACTATCTGGTTGCCTTTTGTCAGGGACTCTTCGAATGTTAGGTAGATCTGGGTCAATTGGTCGGGGCGGGCGTCCGATCTCTGGTTCCTTGTTGATTCCAGACTGATTAGAGAGTCACTGATGACAACATAGTTTGATTTCCTTTGGCTGGATATCCACACTACGGCTTCTTTGATCGCGTACATTTCCGGTGTTTGGCAGATATAAATCCCGAAGCCCGTCGTACCGTTCTCAGGGTTGTGCGATACGTCCGTGTATATGTGAGTCCAGTTTGACCAGTTATCCTCGATATGATGAGCTAAAGAGAGATGCTTGACTGCCAATGGGTTATTCCCTTTACCTACCCCCAGGACGAGGGAGGTATCTACCGGGGGTACTGGAAAAGTCCAAGGGGGCCTAATCGTATCTTCTATATTTAATTTTCGTACGTTAGTTACGTACGACTATTAATGGTGAGCTTATCAGTTCGATGCTAAGCATTTTCTGCTTATATTATATAGGCAAAGTAGAGACTTCAATCTGATTGGTCGAGACTTTGGAACACAATTGAGGTAGAATGTTCAAAGTTGGTGTAGGTGTCTATTAGTTGAATGAATACCTTGACAGAGTTCCGTCGTGTGCATTTTCCACTAAGGCCAAGCAGAGATAAGCAACTTGGTTGGTTGAGACTTTGGAACACGATAACTTTGGTTATGTTTGGGTGAGAGCGATGAAACTCTGAATATAGTTTCATTGTATCAATACATTGACTAAGTTCGATGATGAGCGATAAGTAATTTGATTGCATGGCCAAGACTTTGGACATAACAACTCTGCTTAATAATTGAGAGATGTTCGATAGGTGAAATGTCTTGAGTGAGTTCAATGATTTTAAAATATTTTCCGCTAAAGCTAAGCAGAGCTAAGAAATTTCATTCGTCGATGCTTTAGGACAAGATAACTTTGATTCTAACTGATGGAGAGAAGTGAAAATTAGTGAATAGTTTTACTACCAGGCCCTTTAAAGGAGCTAAATCACTAATATTTGGGACCTAGAAATTGTGTAACACTATGTCTTATAGATAACAGAATATCAGCATAATGTATAAAACATTTATTGAGAACATGAAATAGACATAAATCGGGGGAAGCTCTATTCCAAGTCTGACTTGCTGTCAGTAAACGTCTGCTTA